GCTGTCCTCCAAGTGGAAAGACTAAGTTTCTTCCTGCTTTTATCGTGTATCTTGTTGTCTGTTTTATGTGTTTTATTGTCTTTGAGTTTGTTGAAACAGAAAGACGAACCGAAACTAGACACAGAAACTAACTACATATAACAACTGAGACAGAAAACTAAAACACAGAACCAGAACTACACACATCAAGACATCAACTAGGACATAACCGGGATAATCAGTGAAGACTGAACAAGACAAAACAAATAAACTCATCACAAGAATAAACAAGGCAGAACAGTAGAAACACACATGGAACAAAAAGACACTAAACAAAAGACCCATGCAATGTGACGGTCACGTTATTTCCCAGACAGGGAAGAGGGAAGACTGACTCATGCCTCATGACCTGCAGGAGAAACATAACTGAAAGCAACACAGAATGCCTGAGAGCTGCTCTACTTTATATTACATTATAGCGGTAGATTTTAATTTGTCATTTGCCAACTGAATTTTGTGTTTCCCATTACATAAATAAAAATATTTCCACCATAGATTGGTGCAGAACATCAACACACAGAATGAAACAACATGTGAAATGTAACTCCTTTAACTGTGCAGCAGTAATGAAACCAAATATAAAAAGGTTCTTGATGGCCCTTTAACAACAGCCCATACGACAGCGCCCAAATGATAAACATCAACTGAATCAGGGGGACTCTTCATGTTTAATAATTATAAGATCATACAGTGCTCATGATTTTTATCTAGAGATTGTCTGGTCCTTGTTGTTGTCCAACCTTGAGTGTTCTGCTGCGCCTTGTTCCCTGTGTTCTGAGTTCCTGGTTTGGATTATTCGCCTTTTTTTGGATTTCAGCCTTGTCTGGACTTTACCTGCATCTGCGAGTCAGCCTGAGTGTTTCTGTTGGAGAGTAAATGTTTTGTTGAACTGCATCCTGTGCCTGGGTCTGGGTCCTCACCTAAGTCTGCACTCAGCGTACCCCATGACAGGTTGTGCATTAAATGTATCTGAGTAAGTTAATGAGAACCAGTGTTGGACAGGTAAGATGTAGACTGGTAATGTACATAAATATACAGAATCAGAATCACATTGCTCACGATGTGCTTACTCATACAATAATACTATAATAAAACCATAATAAACACAGGCTACAGAATAGAAAACACAAATATACACACTATAAACAAAACAGAACAATATAGACAGATTGACAAACCGGAACCGAACCAGAACTGAAATGCAACAAATTACAGGTGTGAAACTATTTTGAACTTGTTGTGATGACTTAACAGTTTATATGTAGGGATGTTAACAAGTAAACTTAATGTTAGTAATTATATAATATCTTCTGACTGTCAATGTGGATGAATGTGACAGAAGCGTTGTTTTCTAGCTAACGTTAAAGGTAGTGGAGATTTCTTACCATTTGGAAGTCCAAGAGTTATTACAGACAAAGTCAGCAGACAGAAACAGAAGGACAGAAGCTCCTGAACTGTCGACATGTTGGAGAAGGACCTTAAATCTACTGGACTAGTTAACGGTGCTGATAACCTCAGTTACTGTTAGCTGAGATCATTTAAGTTAAATATCCCGAATACACTGACAGTTGACAGTTAAATGTATTTAATACTAATGACTATAACTTTGGCGCACAACCTCTTTTTTAGTAAAAAAAAAATGGAAGTGAGTCCTTGACTCTTTTTCACCAGTCAGGGAACTCAGTCACAATGCTGAAGCTGCACTTTGTTCTTCTCCCAGTTGCAGTTGTTTTTCCCTCAACTGCGACACCCTACAAACTGCAGCAACATGTCCTTATTCCTGACAGGAGAAACTTATTAGGGCAGCTCTCTTATACAGCCTCTGTGACACACATAATAAAGACATACCCTTTCCTCCTCAAAGGTCCAACACACCATATTACTTTCCTCCTTCTCCCCTTTTTGGAATCTTGTCATTCTTCTTGTCTCACACACATGAACACACAGGAAACCCCGTAGCAGTGAAAGACACGTGTCTCCTTTATAGCCTGACTTGCTAAAGTGTATTTACAAGGTTTATATTTGAACGACACGGCTGCATGTTTACATCTTAAGACTAGCATTCACTGTATAACTGCATATTGTTATGTTGTATTATCTACAAAACGAAATAAATTCCTAATAGCGACCAGCAAAAAGATCCTTTCCTCCTCTCAGTGAGCGCGGACTCAAGAGAACTTTTACTCTTTTGCAGTGACAGCTACAGGTATTAACACTTCAGTTTGAATACACAAACGTACAAAACATGTTATGAACTTAATAAAAATCATTTCCTTCAACATTTATCAGGATTTGGTGAAGTTTGAACAAAAACATCAATGTAATCACTTTTGTAGCCTCCTTTGCAGCCTTATCTTCCATTTGATTTCCTCTGATGCTGACATGTGCTGGTATCCTTAATGATGTCTGTGAGACGCATCGTTTGAACTTTGCACATTGTTTGTTGTACTTCTGTCAAACCGTCTGGCCACTGCTCTGTAAACTGGCTTGTGATGAATCTGAGTCCGAACAAATGATCGCCCCAGTGGCCTAATTTCCTCTATCTACCTCACTGCTAACGAAACTGCAAACATTTCTCCTGTGCACACTGATACTTCATCACTAATCTGGAACAATAAAAGCTGCTCTTTTTTTTATTAACTAAACTCTTTGGTGCATCTGTGTAGGTCTGGACGTCACAGCGGTAGCTTAATATATTCCTGTAGGATTCTGTGAATTCAAAATATTGTTCTTCTTTACTAATAATGTAAAATCTACTGTTGCTTCAGGAAGTAAGCAATGTGGTATTACTGGCAATGGTTACATTTAAGTTCTGTTGCTTTTTGTGTCACTGTCCACCTCCTCTTCTTTTCCCATCAAAGTGTGTTGTGTTGGCTGATCTTCACTACGGCCTGTAAATAATTCAGTGATTATTCTTCTCATGTCATTTCTCCTGTTTCCACCAGGAGGTGCTGCTGTGGACCCATTTTAAATATTCCTCAACATGATCTCAAAGGCTGATATTAAATGTTGTCTAACTTTTAAAGGGACATACAGATCCATACACCACACAACTGAATTAATGAATGAATTAATCACAGTATTTGCATTCAGAGCTGTTCTGTCTGCCCCCCCATTCGTTTCCAACTACACACCTCAAAACATTTAGCACTTTCCTACCTTTGTCTAGTACTTTATGAATATGTACAGTCCATGCAGTTCCCTCATCAAACCATAAAAAAATGTTTCACTCTTTCCAGTTCTTGATTATATAATTTTAGTGTTGTTACTATATTGATCATAATTTCAATAGTATACTATAAAGTTTACCACTAGTATAATATTAATTCTAATTGCATCACTTTAATTTTTGTAGGTTGTTTTCATTAATTTAATTCTAGTGCAAGAAAAATGATATTCATTGGTCTTTAATTTGTTAATGCTAAGTACTAACTTGTTAATAATCAGAACCATTTATGCATTACGAGTTCAACATTTGGCAAGTCTGCTGTATCATGTCAAACCCATTCAGGCTGAAGTAAATGAAGCAATAACTGTAAAAATACTGTGTTAAAGTGTAAAGGTTCTGCAACCTATATAGTAGAAAAACATTATCAGCAGAATTTATTAAAAATAATGCAGACAAAATGGTCTTTCAGGTATTATTGGATTATTTGTGCTGACACATTAAAGCAGTATTTAAAATGTTGTAGCTGATTTTATTACCTGTTGGATGCTTTGATGTACTTTATAACAATGCCTTTTATTTTATATGCTCACTAGTTCAGTATACTCCAGCTGACAGATTAAATATAGTTCTGATGCCATGACCACTGAGAATTCTCCGTTCTGATTGGCTGGAAGGAGATGACTCAGTGTGTATTTGTAAAAAGTTTTTGTAGATTAGATAAAGCATATTTTTAAGTTGCCATATATAAGAGGGATAATACCCTGTAAGTTGAAATCTTCCATGACTGTAACAGGTGACGTGAGGGAACTTTTTAAATGCCTGAACACAAAGTCAGAATAAGGGTGTTTGTCCTGTTCTTCCCATTCTGCAGACTGAGCCTGAATGCAGCATAACCCCTTAATATGGAAGGAAATTAAAGAAAGGATTTCAATACATACACTAAAATAAAATAAATAAATAAAATAAGTTCCACCACTGCTCTGGTTTTCCCCTTAAATATTTTATAGTTTTTATTTCATTTAAATAAATGTGTGTTTTTTGAGAAATGTTGGATAATTTGACCTCTTTCTGCCTCAAATTATTTGTGTATCAGTTTGTTTCTTTCTTCCTGTCCCATTAATCATCTTAAGATCCCTCATTTGTTTCGGTGACCCTCTGAAGGGGCTGACCCCCAGGTTGGGAACCACTGGCCTTATAAAACTTTATATTAAAACCTTGAGCAGCTGTTGCAGATGTTTCTAACGCTGATAAATCAGTAACTAATAAAATCACACAGGAGACTTTTTACTGCAGAAAGACTCTACTACTTTATAGTAGTATAGTATTTTGTTGATAGTACTTCTTCCACCTGTGACCACAGGGTTCAACGGTTGTCCAAATCATTCCTCCTGAATAACTGCATATCTTCCTGCTGTCTGAACATATTAACACAATGAGAGCAGAAAGTGATCATCACCCACAGTCAGGACAAAAACCTGTCTGGGCTTATTCAGGACCCCCGACACAGACTGAATACTCTGTGTGAAACTCAGGTCAGAAAATTGGTTTTAAGCAGTTTTAATTTCAGGACAAATTTTGAGATTTATTTATAAACTTTAACTTGAAGATCAATGAGGGAGAGTCTGTGAAAAAATGTCCAGCAGCAAATAAACTTTGTCTAAAAGTGTCCGAGAGCTTAAAGCTTCAGATTGAACTGAAAAAGTTGTTCACCTGGAATTTTGGAAATCCCTGATGTGACTGTTTTTAACTCTATAACTCAAAGTATAAACATGAAATGAGTTTGAAATACTTGTTTTTATAGATTGACTGCATTTTATTAGAAACAGATTTTTAAAGAGCTTACATTCATTTTGTCTTCAAAGACTTTGAGAATCCAAAAACAGGTGTTGGGTCAATTATTTCCCTCAAAATAAAAATAGGGGTTAATGATTGTAAAGCCTTTTTGTAGACATGAAAATATATTTGTAAAAAACACATAATGCTGTACATAATATCCAGAGAGAAATACTGAACTCTTCCTGACTCTGCTTCAGCTCTTAATAAATGATGATACATACGGTTTGTTCTCAGCATAAATACTAACTGGCAGCTCCTTCTTGACACCGTGATAAATATAAAGTGATGAATAAAATAACAAAACAAAAGTAACATTACATTTATCTTTACGTACATATTAAGTACACAGAAAATATTTAAACAATCAAACAATTAAACATTCACAGCAGTTCAGTCCTGACCCTGTCTAGCTGCCTAAAGTCTTTTTCACACCTGGGACGAAACAAAAGGCACAATTTGGTTCATTTTTACTCGACATCAAGTCCGACATGAATATTCTCGTTCTCTTCGTTCCACCAAAAGATTAAACTAACATGAATTTGTCGTTGTGATGAATGACAGTGGATGAAATGGCGTAGTGGAGGAATAATTAAAAAGTTGTTGTGGTTTGTGTTAAAATAAGTCTTTACTATAATAAAGGCTCAGGTGCATCATTCAAAAAGGTTGTACTTCGTCTCTTGGCTTGTCTTTTTAAATTCCTATGTTTGGCCAAGATTGGTCAAATAATTCACCACTTTCAGTCGCCATTACTGCAATTCTGTAAATCTGATCATTATAATAAAGTAAGTAGGGGTGTGACGAGATTAAAACGTGACGAGATTTCTCGTCAGGTAAAAATTTGTATCGCGAGACTCACGCAATTGACATTTTTCACATGTATCAAGTCAAACATGAATTTTCTCACGCTGTGAAATACAAATGTATAAGTGACAATGTGTTCACAGGAGAGTAAACATGTATGTTAATAAGCTAACTACAGCTGGCTGCTGTTTTGACACAGCGGAGGAGGTCATATTTAATCACATTCTATTCTTTTAATTTGCTTTTAATGTTCATTGCGTTTCCATACAGCAGTTGTTTTATTTGCAAATTTGATGAAACCTGTACAATAGTAAGATATTAAAATATGATGGTTATTTGGTCTTATTGGCTTGGATCTGCCGTCTAGGCTATTTTGGACAGATCGACAGAAGCTACAGACTCTAATCTATGGCTACAAAGGTCCAAACCCCCTCTCTCTTACTCAGGAATCTGTACAAATGTAGGCAGTCTCGAGTATAAAACCAAGCCTAACTAGACCATTTGAGGTAGGATGAATGTTGCTGTTGTAGAATTAACACAGTGGCTCCAGGTGATCACAGCTGACGGAGGTGCAGTGCGACACCTGCTGGTCATTTATTGTAAATCTCTTTATTGTGCTGGCTGCAACGGTTCTATGCCATTGATCTTTATAAGTATTCAGAAAACTTAACATTCAAGAATGCAGGAAATAAAGTGTTTACTTGTTTTAATGTGTATTTTTTTCAATTTCCCTATGATGCTTTTAAACTTTTTTTATATTTCCCTGTTGCTTTTATGTTTTATGTAAAGCACTTTGAATTACCTTGTTGTTGAAATGTGCTATATAAATAAACTTGCCTTGCCTTTCTGCTTAAACTTTTCATGTAATTCAGTATTAAAGATAAAATTAAAATAGTGTTAAAATCTCATCTCGAGAACCCAATCTCGAATCTCGTTACACCCCTACAAGTAGGCCTAACCATAATAAAGCATACTATAAAGTATATAGATTTATAATATTAATCTTTCACATTGTAATCTTATTTTAAAAGTGCAGTTCTGACCCGCCCATTGCCGACCCCTGCTGTAAACCCCTGGGCGCCAGTGCTGGACGGGAAAATTATTGCGTCGGTGCTTCGTGGCGCTCTGCATCAGGTGTAGGACAGGGACCCTAAATGTGTTTATCATATGTCTGGTGTTTATAGAGCTATGAGACATCATGAAGTTCATGTGTTAGAAGCAGGATAAATAGGTAAGCGTGAGGGTTTGAGCGACTTTGAGATGAGCAAACTGTGATGGCTAGAAGACTGGGTCATAGCATCTCCAAAAGGATCTGCAGTGGTCAGTACTGATCAGAGGTTCATCGAACAGCTGATAAAATGAGTTGATGCCTCATTTTACAAGCTGCAAACTTGGCACTACATGGTCAAGGTACAAGTTAGATTATTGTTTATAGGCTACATTACAGGTCCCTTTTTAAAGCTCTGTTTTGTTGAGATATGTGTGTAACTTCTTCTATTTCATTTAGGTGCCATCATGTCTTTAACACAGTCCAGTGGATAATTCAGTTTTCACTCAACAGTGTGAGAGAGGCAAGAGGGAACCTCTAAAACAAGTCTGACTGCAGAGAAGTCAAAATAAAAATGACCCGACTTCTCACTTGATTTATCACCTGAGTAAACACTTTCCTGATTAGTGTAAATTTGGTCCCTTCTGTTTAAAAAAAACCCCAAATGATTACGGCCAATATGCCACATTCAAGTCTTCAAAAAGGCAGTCCACAAACCAGCAGGTGAAGTCATGGTGTCCACTTTGTTATACAGTCTATGGAGAGAGGAGAAAATACAAATGAGATATGATTATAAAACAAGTAAGAAAAACAATCAAAGCAACAAACAGGGTTCAGAAATGTTTGGAGATCTAAACAATAAAAACAAAATCAGAAAAACTGATAAGATAAAATTAATCCAAACTCCCTGTGATAAAAACAACCTTTGTGAAACTCGTTACATCTTCACTGATCTGTCAGAGTGAGGTTGACCTGTCAGTCACTAAGGAGGCTGCAGGAGACTGTAATGTGAGTGATTCTAACCAACAACTGACCATTACATTTTTATAAATTGGTCCAGTGTAGAGTGAGAGCTCTGCAGTCGGCAGCAGCGAAACCAACGTAACGCTTGTGGGCAACTGTGCAAAGAACATTAACTAGAGAGTTTCTGACAACATTATGGAAAGGATCCCTACAGAGATATACTTTTTAAAGTACTTTTTGTTCAGCCAGAATCACTATATCGTTCTGCTCCAAGTCTCCAGACTCCACTGACAAATACAGTAATATCACAGAAGTTACCCTTAAAGGGGGCTACAGTGTGTGGACTCCTCGTGACGCCCTGTGAGGTTATATGTGGGTGTGGCCAATCTCTCTGAGACTGACTGCAGTAACTCTGGGCACCGGGGCCCATTGCCCTGTACAGTACTTCTAACTTCCTGTTCTCATTCTTAGAAAGCTTCTGCTGGGTTGAGGGGACAGACCTCCCTGCTGACTGATGCTGACTGATTCTTCCACCTTTGGTTTGGTTTTTGGATATGTTTGCTTTAGTGGTATTACCTTGTTTCGTTCCAACACCCTTACACACACTTAGCCATCATCCTGTGCGGACACTACTGAAACCACTTACATTCATACCCCATACTTTTAATAATGCATGATACAGAATTTTAATTTGAATCAGAATCAGTAGTTCATCACAAGTAGTTTGTGCAGCAGTTATGACTTGAGGTAGGTGGATTTGTATACAGTATCTACAATATGACACTATAACAGTATTTACAGCACTGAAATAGAGAATGATGAATAATTAATAAGTGGTAACCAGTAAACAGGTGGCTGATTAGAGACAGAGTTACTGGGTTATTGCACAAGAATTGTTCCTGACACTGTGAGTCAGAAATCAGCTGTTCATCATGGATCTGCAGTGATGTTTCCTGCCCGTTTCCTGAATGGAGGGCAGGTTGGCACTGATGATCTTTTCTGCAGTCCTGACTATCCGTTGTAGTCTGCTCCTGTCCTTTTTGGTTTGAGAGCACACACCCCTGGGGGGCGCCAGTGCTAATAGTCCGGGTGCTGGATGTGATGTTTCCCAGCCTCACTTGCTGACTCCTGTCAGTCAGGAAGTCTGTGATCCGCTGGCACAGTGAGCTGGGTGAGTTTGGTGCTGAGGATGTCCGTGATGATGGTGTTGAACGCCGAGCTGAAGTCCACGAACAGGATCCTTCCATGTGTCCCCGGAGAGTCGAGGTGTTGCAGGATGTGATGCAGACCCAAGTTGACTGCATCATCCACAGACCTGTCAGCCATGTAGGTAAACTGCAGGGGGTCCAGCAGGGGGCCTGTAATGTCCTTCAGGTGGGCCAACACCAGGCTTTCAAAGGACTTCATGGATGATGAAGATGGTTTTGGAGTGGGGGAGAGGTGTGACTGTGGGATTTTCAAACCTACAGTAAAATCCCTTCAGCTCATCAGCCAGTTGTTGAGTACCAGCAGTGTTGGGGGAAGTCTCCTGTAGTTGGTCCGCAGGCCTTTCCACACTGACGCAGGGTCGCTGGCTGTGAAGCTTTTTTCCAAGCTTTTCAGCGTAGCATCTCTTTGCTGTCTTGACTCCTTAGTCAGAGTGTTCCTGGCCTGGTTGTACAGGACTCTGTCTCCACTTCTGAAGGCGTTGGTTGTTGTATGTGCGGAACGTTTTACTCTGCACACGTGTCCTCACAAAAACTGATGTAAGATGTCACAGTGTCGGTTAGTTCGTCCAGGTCGGTGGCTGCAGCCTCAAAAACACTCCGGTCAGTGCAGTCAAAGCAGGCCTGTAACTCCAGCTTTGACTCGTTGGTCTATCTTTTCACCCTCTTTACAACAGGTTTAGCAGATTTCAGATTGAACCCTGAAGCTTTCACTCAAAGAACAGAAACTCTGCCTCTTCACCATCTACCCGCACGTTGAATGAACAATTGGCTTTAAATACAGCTAACTTTGCCTTCACTTCAGAAAGATAGAAGTATTATGTTTACCATAAAAGTCTTCACTACCTGAGTGAACCAGTGTGTTTGCTTCACACGTCATTTTGACGTCACTAGTGACTTAACAATACTGAAAACAGACGTGCACTCTTTAAAACAGATATACATCACATTACATTGTGCAAGGACAGAAAATTACTATGAAATTAAACAGAAACATGATTCAGGGTTATTTTGTTTCCAGGTAAAAAGTCACAGCATTAAACATATAATTTGTACTAGAGCCTGACCGATAAATCGATAAAGGCTCATATCAGATAAATCTGAATCAGTGTTTATTATCTTATCTATTATCTGCAGCTCCCCTGTTGTTAACACCTTCTTGAGCCACAAATCCACCAGAAAACACTGCAATCAGCTGACAAGATCAGCTGGACTTTTTAAAAAAATACTTTCTGAATTCTTTTTTAACTGCATTATGTCACATTATCTTGATGTGGTCTCATAACTACACACGACAAATGTCAGGGAAAATCTTTGTTTATGTTGAGTGTTTCTGAGAAGGTAAATAAAGAATATCGGCCGATATATCAAATCCGTAAATATCAAAATCAGTTTGGTCTTAAACCCCCATGTTGGTCAGGCTCTAATTTGGACAGTATTACCTTGAACCAAGACGGGATGTTTTGCACGTGATCTTGAAGGTATTGTGTTTATAGTAGCCGATAATAGTGGGACAACATCAACCCATATTACCACATTAATGTCACCATATTACCAAATTTGTATCACAATATTGCAGTGATAAAACCATTCTGACCATCAAATATGTTTTCCCATTATTCCCCTTTGTTTTTGACTCTTAGTACCCTAAGTACACAAAATTCAGTCTAAAATTACCCAGATGTCTCCTTGCACATTTGTGAAATCAAACCATCCATTTAAAGGACAGTTATGTATTTATAACTTGTTATATTTATTTTTAACAATCAGAATGAGAACCAGAGGCCTCACAAATAAATAAAGGCTCAGTGGATTTTCTTTTTCATAAATGTAAATACGAACTTAACGGGCGCCTCAGTAGCTCACCTGGTGGAGCGCTAAGGTTGGATTACACAGGTTCAGATGCTCTGCTCAATGTCATCTTGTCTCTCTCCCAGGTTTCCTCTCTCTCTTCAGTTGCTCCTGTCAAATAAAGGCAAAACGTCCAACATAATATATCTGAGAAAACGATAACCTTGTGACGAGAGACGGTCTCTGTTAAGTATCTGTTATGTTGATGTCTGCACATGATGAATATGTTGATACATTTATATAAACTCACCTTTATTACAGCGTACTGTGATGCGCTTTGTAGCTACTAGCAAAGCTTGAACTGCAGCAAGAATTACAGCTCCTAAAACGATTCCACCAAACCATCCTGTGACGTCCCCTCTGCTGCACGTGTCCTCAAACAGTTTCTCTGAAACACACAACAGAACCTAGAGTCACACTCAGAATGTAAACTGTATATCATGTACAGCACACTGGTTATTACCTACACAGAACTACTACTGAGGCGACCATGCTGCTAAAGTCTATGAACATTAAAATAACACCATGTAAACATCTAAAACTATTTTCAGAAAAGATCACTGGGATGAATTTCACCTGGTAAAGTGATTAGGTTTGATCTTGGCTGATGTCGTCCTGCTCGAATACACAGTGGAATCTTTTCTTTTTACTATTTTTGGGACATTTTATAAACAAAAAATTCTAATTATAAAAAAACAACAAGAGATTAATCAAAAATAAAAATAATTATTAGTTGCAACCCTACACAATATCATGATATATATTTTATATTTGATTTTAACATTAATCAAGCTAAAATCACAGAAAATGTATCTTGTAATTACAACAAAAGCATCTTTCAGTGTAACTGCAGGGAGTGAGATTACAGACTAAGCAGCTGGCTGATTTCTGTGTTGTGATCTGTAGCGTGCTGCAGTTACTGCAGTGCTAGAGTCTGACTGAACACAGTTTCACCAACAGTTTAAAAGGCTGATGTGCCGTTTACATCGTGACCCACAGAGTCCGACCTTAAAGACACACCAGGAGAAACTAGTGGAGAGTCTTGATTTTAATGTTTCTGATCTCTACATCTGCAATGTCTATGCTACAATTTAGTCACCTTAGAGCTGGGTGATATTCAAGATGTTTGACAGAACAACATCACTTTAATACATACAGTCCTTTATCATAATGAACCAAGCCAACAGAACATCTTCAGATGCTTCATCAGCTTCTAGTGATCCAACAGTGTTGCACCACAGATTTCTCCTCATCTATCATGTCAGATAGATGGCTGTAGATCTAATAGATATCAACAAATATTTATTATTCTTTATTTATTTATCTTTCTTTCTGCAATCGATACTAATTATAAACCAATCAGCCATAACATTATTACCACCTGCTGGTCATTATGTAGGTCTCCCTTTAGCCGCCAAAACAGCCCTGACCAGTCGAGGCCTGGGCTCCTCTCTGTGTTCTGACACATTTCTATCAGGACCAGCACCCACTTTTTCAGCAGCTTCTTTTTCCTGCTTCTAACATAAACTATGAGGACACAATGTTCACGTGCTGCTTAATATGTCCCACCCACTGACAGGAGCCATTTATAAATCTGTTACTGGGTTTGTGAGTGAAGTTTACTAAATTCTTGTGTTCCTGTGTTTGATCAGACTGATCTCAGAGTTTCTTTCTGTTATTTCCCTGCAGACCCTCTCATTCTTCCTCTCATCTCTGTAGATTCATGAAGTCTCAGAGTCTCAGTATAAGAGTGAAGCTTTCACTCCGTTTGAAACTTTTTACACTTCTGCAGACGTCTTCATCACAACCTGCTTTGTGTTCAGTCTGCACACTTAAAATAACACCTTAACAATTTAATTATATAAATATAAAATACCACAAGGAAGAATCTCACCATTGAATGGCACAAAGGTCTCAGCATAAATCTGATGGCTGATCTCCTCCTGTGTGGCTACACAGCGATAGCGGTCGGTCTTCATCACAGTAGTTAGGAGGGTGATGTAGAAGCTGCCTCCTCTTTCTGAGACCTGTGGCTCCTCAGCAGGAACCATTTTTTTAGCACTGTCCTGCCACTCTACTGTAGGTTTAGGAAAAGCACCAAGAACTTCACACAGCAGCAGCATCCCATCATTCGTTTGTTCAAGTATCTTGACAGACGGCTCTGGAGATGCTCCTGTGAACACAGTAAACAGACACATCAGCTATAAAAGGACAATAACAGGATTATAAATGTAACACTGTGATGTTTCTTGTTCGTCTCTTCTCTGCTTGTAAATGAGGATTAAAGTGTGTTTAACAGAAAAACACAGAGGAACAGAAAAGCACAGTATCAGCCTCAGTTGCTCCTCCCAGCATTGTTAGATAGGACATGATATTTCAAACTTTTCTAACTTCTACCAAAAGTCTGGAAACTATTTACAGCTGCAAACACTGTTTCTGACTCATATTATGACAGAAGCTCAGATACAGTGAAGACGTTTGGACAAACTCAATTTTTACATTTGTTGAGCTGAAAAAATTATCTTGAAACGACGTCACATGAAATCTGTTGTCACACTAAAGTAAAATAAACATGTTATAAAATATGAAAGTTCACTTTATGATGATTAGAGATGGTGCTGATCTGGACTGAATTATATTTAAAAGGTGTTTCTAATATTCTGGGAGAATTTATAGCAGAGCTGCCCTAATGAACTGCAACACATTGTTCAGGTATAAATCTAGTTTTTTCAAACATTAAAAGCAGGGTTTCAAAAGTACGAACACCTCAAAGTGTGTGAGAGTGTTCACTGATTTCATATGACATGAAAAGCATCTTTCAGTTATCAGTGTTACTGTAGAAACTGAGATTATAGTCTAAGCTGCTGGCTGATTTCTGTGCTCTGTAGCGTGCTGCAGTTACTGCAGAGGTAGACTAACTGAACACAGTTTCACCAACGATGTAACAGCCTTTTACATCGGACCTGAAAGACAGATCAGGAGAAACTAGAGGTGACTTTTGATTTTAATGTCTCTGATCTCTACATCTGCAATGTGTGTGCTACAACTCTTAGTCACCTGAGATCTGGGTAATATTCATAAATTTTATCATTATGTCCACAATGAACCAAGCCAACAAAACATCTTCAGATGTTACATCAGCTTCAACTGATCAGTCAAACAGTGCTGCTGCTGGCTACAGGTAGTTTCACTGCAGGTCTAAGTGTACGTTTAACAGGAAATAAACTTGGAGCCATTTTAATGTTTCTGTTCAACACAGTCTCACTCCCTACTCGTCAAATGTCTGACGCATGGTCAAGGCCCTTTGTCATCGCTTTTTAAAGACTTGGGTAGCCCTTTTGCATCAATTATTGACGTTTAGGGATCCACAGTCAAGTTAGCAACGCTTAGCAACAATAAATATGCAATATCCGGTTACACTTTCAAGATAAAACGTAACGTTTCGATACATTGCCATGTTGAAACGCGCATAATTAAAGTCGTGAAACGTTGCAGTTTCGTTAAGTTTAGGCACAGAAAGTACTTGGTTGGGTTTAGGCAACAAAACTACTTGGTTAAGGTTAGGAAAAGATTATGGTTTGGGTTAAAATAGCTATGTATGTCAATTAAGACTTAAGTTAACTAACGTTAATGTCAATTTACCTCACTGGCCTAAATAAAAACATTTAATGTTTTGTTTCGCACGGGACACAAACCCTGTTCTCCTGCTTCAAGGTCCGGGTTCTGGCCCTCTATCCACCCCAATCACCTCCTTACTTCGTCTTTTCTCCTAAATATAAAACTGACACAACAGGGCTTCCCTCAATACGTCGAACTATGACGTCAAAGGGATCCCTAGTGCGTCACAAACTGACGATTATGGCTCTTGACCAAGTGTCCATATGTGACGACTTGGGAGTGAGACCGGGTTGTTCTGTTTGAATCAGTGAAATAGTCTGTAGAAGCTGAGCTGCTGGACTAAAGAACCACATCAAGTATCTCAGAGTGAACTTTGTGTGTTTGTGTCCCAGAATCAGCTGATAATCAGCAGATGTAGAGATCAGTAACATCAACATCAGGACAGACCGCTGATTTCACCTCCTCTGGTTTATAAGACAGACGGCTGTAGATCTGATAGATGTCTGATCAATACATGTTTGATCTCTATCCTGAGGCCCAGAGAGTTGTAGCACACATTACAGATGTAGAGATCAGTGACGCACCTGTGATTTCTCCTGATCGGTCTCTGAAGGTGAGCTCTGAAAGAGAACATTAATTAACACAATTAGAACAGTAATTACTGCACAGATGATCGATGTCACACTTTACTGTGCTGTAAATATGAAGCTGCAGGCAGCAGACAGCTGGGCTAGCTTAGCATAAAGACTGAAAGCAGGGAAACTAGCAGCAGAAGACCAGCAAGTCAGCAAACACAGATTAAACAAGGTTAGATATAAAATACTCACTAGTACTACTACTAAAATACTGCAAGTGTTTTACGAAGAGGGAAAAAACAGAATATGTTTCTGGGAGTAAGACTGAATATAAAAAAACTTTTAGTTTGTTTTTAAGTAAGCTCAGAAGTGGTTAGAGCATCCAGCAGCAGCAAAGCTGTTGGTCACCTGAGATCAGAGGCTCAGTTCTGACACGATGTGGAGACAAAGAAGATCATGCAGGCAGGAGACAGGACAACTTACATGTCACTGATTATAGTTACTGATGTGGAGAGAAAAGACCAAGTAGAGGAAAAGCAGGAAGAGGAGGAGAAGAAGAAAAAGATGTCAGTTCGATACCAAGAGCATCACAGGCTGAAAGTACAGGAGCTACAGGGGGCAGATGAAGCATGAGGTGCTGATTTCAAACCAATCTGGAAGTTATAAATAAATCTGAACAGACAAGTATGAAAAGCTGGAACCAAACCTAAAAGGACAGCAAGAGATCTTGATGAACAATATACACTAAACTGCCAAAGGTTATGGGTCGCCTGCCTTTACATGCACATGAAGGTTACTGATGTGATATTATTGTAGTATTAATCCGTAGGGATTAATATGGAGCTGGTCCACCCTCTGCAGCTATAACAGCTTCAACTCTTCTGGGAAGGCTGTCCACAAGGTTTAGGAGTGTGTTCATGGGAATTTCTGACCGTTCTTCTAGAAGCACATTTGTGAGGTCAGACAGATGTTGGACGAGGAGGCCTGGCTCGCAGTCTCTGCTCTAATTCATCCCAAAGGTGTTCTGTCGGGTTGGGATTAGGACTCTGTGCAGGCCAGTCAGGTTCTCCACAACAAACTGGCTCATCCAGGTCTTTATGGACCTCGCTTTGTGCACTGGTGCATAATCATGTTGGAACAGGAAGGGGCCGTCCCCAAACTGTTTCCACAAAGTTGGGGACATGAAATTGTCCAAAATGTCTTGGTGTGCTGAAGCATTAACAGTTCCTGTCACCGGAACTAAGGGGGCGATCCCAACCCCTGAAAAAAATAACCATGATGCCCCCTCCACCATACTTTACACTTGGCATAATGCAGTCAGGCAAGTACCGTTCCCCTGGCAACCGCCAAACCCAGACTCGTCCATCGGATTACGAGACGAGATAAAGAAGCATGATGTGCTTTACACCGCTGCATCCGATGCTCTTCATTGCGCTTGGTGACGTTTGCAGCTGCTGACTCTGCAGAAAGTTGGCAACTTCAGCGCACAGGTGGCAACCTATCATGGATCCACGCTTGAATTCATTCTTTCACAAATGTTTGTAGACGCAGTCTGCATCCTTAGGTGCTTGATTTTATACACCTGTGGCCTTGGAAGTGATTGGAACACTTGAGTTCAATGATTTTGAGGGGGCGTCCCAATAGTTTTGACAATATAGTGTATGTAGATTTAACTATTTAATGAAAACACTCACCAACAACAAGCTGAATTTTTAATATTTGTCTTGGCTGAAGAAGTGGAAAATCACAGGTGTAGTCTCCACTGTCGGTCACCTTTGTTTTTCTGATGATGATGGAGGCGTTTCCGTACTTCAGCTCATCTTGAAAATGTGAGATGCGACCTTTGAACTGCTGATCTTGACCTGGACGGCCGTTATTATAATGAAAGCCTCCAACATAAAAGAAAACCTCCTTCCCACCATCTTTCTTCCAGTCAAAGAGTTTCTCCTCAGCGTTCTCCTTGGTGCTGAGGGAACAGGGTAAAATGGCGTCACTCCCTTCTTTCACAACCACTCTGACGACACCCGACCCTGAAAGAAGAAGTTTATTTTAGTCATTCTGTTCATCAGATAACACATTTACATGTCACCTCAATGACTCTGAAACACCAGTTTATAAACACATTAGTTAGGCGGCACATTATTTATGGAGATTTTTTTTTTGTTGGCATCATTTAAGAATATTTAAGCTGACATGAGAAACCTGATGAGTCACATGACACAGACACTTCAGACCAATCCAGTCTCAGTATGACTACAGGGTCTTTGAGAGGACGCCCACGATCTTTGAGTTTGCTGATCGTGTGTTTGGTTTTCATTTGGAGTCACTTCTGAAACTTTCACATTGTCCAAATATTCTGTATGTTCACATTGTCGGGTCACTGTTCTCCCTTCAAAGATCACGCAGCTGCGTCTCATTATTTAGCAAACACCAGCCGAACGGAAACACATTTCTCTTCATGGGAGGAACAAGAAGGAGAAGATTGTGAACAGAAGACTCTCAGGTGAAATCTGAACTCGGTGTCTGCAGCTGCGTTAAATGATTTAAATGACAGTTAAAGAACCAGAAATCATCAAGAGTCAGGTGAAGACATTTATATGATCGCTGCTTCAGTGCATTTCCAGTCTTCCAACAAACACATTAAATCAGCAGAGAAAAACTGATGAAGGCCGACATGCAGATCAAACATGGGGGAAACCTGCTTTCTGCTTTCTACTCCACTACATTCATCTGGAAATTATATTTACTAGTTACTTTGCAGATGATCATCTTATAGAGTATGATCACTTGTTATAGATTAAACTTCCTAACTGTGCATATTGATGTAAAAATTTGCTCCACCATAACCAGCTGTTGTTGTTAAAATACTGCTGATGTGTCAATGCAGCAGTAATAATGTTCCTATTATATAATACAATAAGAAACTATGATAAGCATTTTTAACAGTTTCTTGACATTTTAAAGACTAAACGATTAGTCGATTAATTGTGAAACTAATCTGCAGATTAGTCGATAATGAAAATAATCACTAGTTGCAGTAGAATTTTATACATTTTGCTTTTATATGTGATGTTTGTTCAACATGTTTTGTTTCTATTTAAAGTGGTCGGGTGTCCCTCAGGACAAAGATTTCAATCTCAAGGGACTTCCTGGTTAAATAAAAACAATAAGTAAGAATCTGAATGCAACATTTAGAAAGTATTTTTACTTCATGTTGAAAGATCTGAGTACCACTGTTATTATGATCACTGTGTAGTCAAGTTATCTTATTTGTCCTATCTCGAGTCAGTTTTATCTATAAAGCCCTAAACCAACAACAGTCACAGTGAAGCAGTCAATGAATAACTTGCATTGTGTCGTCCTGCTGTGATTTTCATATTTTCCTAAGTTTGCATCCCTGTTTTAAGATGATTCATGTGTGTTTCCCTTTTCTCCTGTTTTCTTTCTCTCTGTGAGCAGGACAATTCCCCTGGTGGGGAAGGTGACTCCCCAAAATGGGACAATTAAAACATATGTGCATGTGATTTGGAAATCAAATTTGTTTTAATCATGAAAGTTATTAAAAACATCTCCTGTCATTTGTTTTGTTGCTGTGAACCTCCATGAATTGATTTAGGAAATTAACACCAGCCACATAGATCAATCAGAAGGATGCTGTAATTAAATGGCACCACATGTTTTTATATTGATCTGTGCTAATAATCAGGATATTGATTATCAGTCCAAGTAATTCCTTTTCTTACCGTGTTCATCAGCAAACGTTGTTCCAGACCGAGTCAGGAGACAGAGACACACGAGAGGAAGAAGCTTCATGGTTGTCCAAGACATCTGAAAATAAGAATCACATTAACATCACTGTAACACAACACAGCTGCATGCAGGGAGCAAAATGTACTTTTTTGTCCGCCAGCCAAATAACTAGTGAATGCTCAAAGTGTACCAGCCGTTCAGTAGATCACCATCGTTTCTTTGGCTCGTGAGTGAATTAAATCTACCAGCCAATTGCATATTTTACCGGCATTAACTTCTACACATGCAGGGGAAACCTTGACTTGATTCTACAGTGTCCACTTCATTAGGTACACCTATACTATCTAAAGTCATCCACAATACACCAAGTCAACAATATATTCTGTTATGTTGCCTACAGAGTATTAAAAAATCCTCTCAATACAATCTCAAGCATAATATAACCTTCAACCATTACCTCAGCAATGCATATAATTTAATTATTATAAAAGCATTATTCATGTCAGAGCTCTTCTATTTGCATTCCATTGTACATAATAAAAGGTCTCACAATAAAAACTAAAAAGCATTTTTTCAATAAGAAATTAATATGAATAGAAAATACATGAAGCACTAAATCTAATATGAAGCAGCGCGTCTCATCTGCACGGTGTGGTACTGATTCAGCGTTGGTTTGGAGTCCCTGGGTCACATAACATGGAACATTTTTTTAATAAGAAATATTAATAAATATTGATATAAAATAGAAAATGCACTCAAATCTAATAGGAAGTGCGGTACTACAATTCGGCATTGGTTTGGTGTCTTTAAATCACATGACATGCAAGCTCTTGATTGACTAATAGTAATTTATCGATGGTCCCTAAGCAAACCCCTGGTGGTTAAGAGCGAGCCCTCGGAGGTGAGCTAACCGGCATTATACTGCCAACACCGGGGGAAACAGATCAACAAGACGCCGTTTGATGCTGAATGTCTGTCGGATATCCAACTTAAAACTTCAGCGCGGTGCATGTTTCTATCCGGCCTATGAGCATTAATATACAGCTGCCAGTTTATCAGGTACACCAGGCTAAAACTAATGCAGTCCTGTAATAAATGCTACCTTCATGAAGGTTAAAACTTAAAATATTGTGATTAAACAACATTACATACGATTGTAACGTGATTCATTTTATTGATTGTCAACCAAGTGAGACTTTAACAACAAATCTAATAACCGAAGATAAACTGTGTTTGTTGCCAAACAACTTCCTCAAGTTAGAATCTAACCAAATATTATCTTTTGATAAACATGAACTAAAGCTGGTTCAGATAAAATAAAAACATTAGATTCACGAGGTCAGCTGATGCGTTAAAATGTGAAATAAAAGAAGATGCAGTAATTTCATGAACATACCAGGGAGGATAACTTATGTCGGGTAAACTGAAACGAGGGGGGGCTCCGTGAAAGTTGGTGGTAAAGCCGCGGTAATAAACCAGATATCTTGTTATATGTCTCTTCAAGGTCTGAGCTTCAGGTCTGTGAGCAGCCGACATACAAAGGAGAACAAACTTCAACCGTCCGAGGCTCGACTTCAACAGCTCCATGGCAGATTGTCCAACCTTAAATAGTGGCTGAAAACACCGAGTTCAAAGCAGTGTTTGAGAATTCACTGACTCTGGCTGAAAACACCGAGACCAAAGCAGTGTTTGAGAATTCACTGACTCTGGCTGAAAACACCGAGACCAAAGCAGTGTTTGAGAATTCACTGACTCTGGCTGAAAACACCGAGACCAAAGCAGTGTCTGAACCCTCCTCCTCTCCAACAGGAGGTTGGCCTAAAGAAGATCCAACCAGCGCAGAGGGCCCCTCCCCCTTTCCGAGGCGCTCACGGGCCGCCCGGTCCTCGTCCAGCAGTCCCTCCCGGCTGCAGCTACAGCAGGAGATGTTCACTCCTCCGCGGCGAGACTGCAAATGAATCGCGCGTGCGCGAAGCCGCAGCTGGCTAACTTCACTTGTTGCTGCTCCACAGTGTCGCTGACATTTCAGATCTGATTTTATTAAGGAGGAGGTTTTGCATCACCTTCCCTGTCCCAGTGCGCAGTGTCTCAGCTGATGTTTGCTTCTCAGGCTGTAAATAAAAACTAAAAACTCTGCGACCTCTATCAGCTTTGAAAATCCTAATGTGATTCCAATGTGGTCACCAATTGTTTTCTATATTACTCATAAACATAAATGACTTTTCAATCTCTTTTTTACTGATTTACTGTAATTTATTATAAACAGATTTTTAAAGAGTTTAAATTCAAAGACTTGAGAATCCAAAATCAGCTGTTGGGTCAGGCAGATAATTAATTCTTTCCCTGAAAATAAAAACACTATTAGGAATATTTTAGTGACATATAACACCTCGTATTCAACAGTAGATGACAGGAAATGAAAGTAAACAGATGTGGAAATATGGAGGAATGTGCCGTCACTACTTCACCTGGTGAACCAAGTAACAAAAGATCACATGTTCAGGCACTTTCTGGCAGGTATTTTAACAGGTAAAAAAGTACAAGGTGAGTTATAATATGCCAAATATAACTCTTCTGAATGAAATCAAGTCATTTTGAGGAAGAAATAACTTTTCAGTCAATAAGTAGAGGCTTCAGTCACTGTCTGGAAAGTAAAATACTGCATTTTATGGGTTGTTTTCACCATTTAAAGTTATTTTAACAGGTAAAAAGTACAAGGTGAGTTATAATATGCCAAATATAACTCTTCTGAATGAAATCAAGTCATTTTGAGGAAGAAATAACCTTTCAGTCAATAAGTAGAGGCTTCAGTCACTGTCTGGAAAGTAAAATACTGCATTTTATGGGTTGTTTTCGCCATTTAAAGTTATTTTAACAGGTAAAAATGGGTTGGATTGGTTGGTACACAGCAGGTAAAATAATGCAGAGTTATAAGGATAATTGCAAAAGATTATGTCTTTATTTTATATATAACTCAGCAGTAAGTCATGTTATTATAGGCTACAGTCCGTTTCCCAAATATAAACAAGGATATTAGACGTCCGTTTTCGCTGAATTCTGATTGGCTCAACGGCGCCGATCAAAGGAGTTTACTTTCCATCTGGGGTGAGTTCAATCCAAAACCTTTTGCACCGGTTTGCTACGTAGGTTTGTATGACAAGTGCAACAGAGAAGAGGGCGAAAGAACGTCCATCTCCCTCGTTCTCCAGTCTTTCTTTTAGGCTACTTTACTTTAGCTTGTTGGTCGACAGCTGACTCAGCACCGCAGCGATACTTGGATTAGTAACTGTAATAATGTTTTGGAAATAGCAATCTGTTAGCTAGTTACAGGGAAAATGAGTCAACTCCGAGGCAGTAAACACAGCACACAGCTCCACACTGCTGTCTGACCCTAGCTGGTCCACTGACACCATTTACGCTGGGGATGCTGGGACTTTTTGAAATGGCTGGTTTTCGTCCCACCACCTTCGTGAGACACTAACATCACTGAGCAGCTCCTTCAGTGGCAGGCTGATACACCCACGCTGTGTGAAGGAGAGATTCAGGAGATCTTTTCTTCCTGCTGCCGTGAGACTTTAGAATCAGAAAAACAGAAGAAAAACAGCTTGCTCCACAGAAAATGTCTCCAGAAGGAAGGAAATTACCAGTTTAATGCTCAAAATCTTTTGGGGGACGACTCCCAGACCCCTCATATGTATTTTACCATCAAATATTTAATCTAAATAGTGACTAACAATCTTCTTGTCTTGTTCTCGTGCATCATCACGCCCCTAATCTGAGCCCTCATGTCCCCACCACGTTTCAACACAAAGTGACCCGCTCCGCTCTGCACCAGCTCCTCTCTAGTAGGCCTAAAAGTGAACACTTTTGCAAGGTATTGTATGCATGCTACATTCTCATTAGGGGCTGAGCACCCCTAAAGGTCTGATCCTAGAATCGCCCCTGCAGTGTAGAGACGCAGCTGCTGTGTGAAGCCTAATTGTAGCAAAAGGGCAACATATAATAATAATAAGAATAAACAATGCCTGATATTTTCCCATTCAGCACTAGGCCTACATGCTTGCAGCTATGAATGTTACTTTGCAGCAAGAGTCACCATCAGGAATCAGGTGTTAATCCCTGGCAACGTTTCACCAGTTCCTTCTACACATGACCGCCACTAGCACAGAGTCTGGTGTCAAGCGATCTCCCGAATAACTAAAGTAACTTTGGTAATTTTGTGGATCTGTCACTGTTGAGGTTTGCTGTAATGTAGGTGGCAGGTTAGCCCAGTGGTTTGAGTGACCACGCTGCCGCAACACAATGTTACAAAAAAACATTTCCAGGCCTTTTTCCCTCATTTTCCATGTGTTTTCCATGACTGGAAAGTTGGTCAAGTGTTTTCCAGGTTTTCCAGGATGTATGAGAACCTTGAATAAATTTTGTGCTGTGTGATTTAGGGACTCCAAACAAATGTTAAATTGTAGAGCTACACTGAGCAAATGAGAAACAACCGTTCATATTAAATTTCAGTAAATGTAGAAGGTTTCATACTCTGAAGAAAAGAGTCTGGAGACAGTTACAGTTTTATAGTGGTGCTTTACTTCCCATCATTCTTCCTTCTTCTATTACACACTCTCCCAAACACATCCACAAAACCCCACAACATAACATCGTGGCGCCGAACATATATTAAGTTAATTATCTATCTGCAGTTTTACAGGTTCAACTTTCCTAGAAGCGAGTCACGTTGAGCAGATTAACTAATACGCGTTTCTAACTTTAACAACAAATCTAATAACTGAAGATAAACTCTGTTTGTTGCCAAAGAACTTGAAATTTAACATTAACTAAGTGAATTGAACTATTATCTTTCGATAAACATGAAATAAAGCTGGTTAACATAAAAACACCACAGTTGACTGGACTGATGAGAGATCAGCTGATGCCTTCAAATGGAAAACTGCAGTGTGTACTGGGTTTAATATATCCTGCCCCGGACCGTTTTTCCCCCAACAAGAGACTAGATCTAGATTGTTTCGCCTTTTTCATTGTCGGACATCTCCGTGAAAATGAATCGCGTGTTGACTTGGTGCGGCGAGGAGGTGAAATGCCTCACTGACATTTGGTCAGAACAACACATCAGATGTTGGTGTGGAGTTGGATGGAGACGGTGAGTAACTGGAGCCTGTCGCTGGTTTCATCAGTTCTTGTATTACTGCATCTATGTTACTACTAGTCTACTACTACTTCTGCTAGAAATTATAATACTTGTACTACAACCAACAACAACAACTAAGCTACTCCTACTACTAATACTCCTGCTTATAATATCACTGTAACAACAACTGCTGTTTATACTATTACCACTGTTAAAAACAACATCTGCCTACCATTACAAGGCTACTATAAAACAACCGTGTTGGGCAAGTTACTCAGAAATTTAAATAAGTTACTTGTTACTTAAAAGGGATAATATTACTTTACTTATTACTGGGTATTAAAAGTAACAAGTTATGTTAAGGTTACTCGTTACTACAATAAGTAACCTGAGCTGTCAACATGCAGCCTCTCAGACCAGATGATGCTGCCACAGGGCTCTGAGTATACAGTATTTAACTACATAAATATCTCTCCCGACGGTTCAACTAACAGCATATTCATATCAGCAGCAAGAAGTAGGCCTATGGTTTTGGCTGAAATAAAAAACAAAGCAATGCTTTCACGACTGTTGAACTACTGTTTTTGTGCACATGCACTAATAAAAGCAGTATTCAGTGTTTTTACAGAACAATATTAAACGTTACTTAATGCCACTCTCCTGATAAACGCATGCATCACTGGCAGCAGTGGCCTCCCGGTCAGCTTCGGAGAACAGCTACAGCCTACTCCTACCACCACTGTTAACATGTTCAGTCTCTGATGAGCGTTACTCAGTAACTACTTGCTGTTACTGACAGGGGAAGATGCTGCACCACAGGACGGGAGAGAGGAGAGTCGCTGGACTCCACTGACGTGGAGGCAGAAGACAAAAAGTGACACTCTGACCGCCCATTCCTGGAAGTCAGTCCAGGAAGAGGAAAGTGAAATCTTCTCTGGTGTCAGACAGAACAAAGAAGATTCCTGGAGCAGATGCTTAATGTGGATCGAACCCATCAAGCCCAACGCTTTCTCTGAGAACATGATGAGGTCTCAGCAGAAGGCAGAGGGTAGAAGGTTTAATGCCATGCAGGCACAACAACGGACCGATCAGCAAATGTTTATGCAGCCTTGGAAAAGTTTCTGAAGAATCTGTAGAAACTGTTCAACACTGTCATTCACACGTATTTATGATTGTTCAAAAGTGAAGGAAGGAAAAATGTTGCATATTATAACCTGTGTTGTCTACATTAATATTGTTTTGTATTTCCTGTTTCAATCCAGTGTAATAAACTGTCTATAGATTCAGGAAGCCTCCCTCCTTTAACTCTTTATAGTGAGTGTAACCCTGAGAATGACAAAACACAACATCAAAAAGCAACAACTTGGCTGTGACAACACCCAAAATCAGTGCGCCCACTGTAGAAAGAGGATGGAGGTCAGGTAGCGGCCGACCTGAATGTTTTATCCACTCGATGCGTCTGAAACACGACAGCAGGCGTCTTGAGATTAAAGACAGGAAGCCCTTGCGTCGTCCTGCTGTTGCTCTTCCATCACTTCCACTTCGCTACTGTCCACTTACTCCTCTCTCCTCGACTGTGTAGCTACTCAGACGTTTTGGCAAAGTATTAAATTCCCATATCAGTTTTGATACAGACTGTTCCTTGGGATAAAGTGTGGTCGTTACCTTTTAATTATTTGTTTTCTAATATAGTGAGAGAAGTAACGTTTACATTGATTCACCAGATCCACGCAGAAAAATCTTTCTTTAAAAGATAAAAGACAGAATATTGACAGGAAGGATAAGAAAGGACTGTACGTCTGTGTGACATTAATGCTTTTATTCAGTAGACGACAGGAAATGAAGGTGAACACATTTGGAGCAGCCGTCGCTACTTCACCAGGTCTGGGGGACCGACTGGGAACTTCGTACAGTAACAAGCATGCTGTGTGACATCACGTGTAGTTTGGACCAATCATAGCGCAGTTTTGGACGAAACGTTTAAAATTACACATATTTACAGTCATTTTTAACCAGATAAGAAACAAACTATTATTCTAATAAGGTCACTTTTATGTGACTTAAAACATGAGATAGGGGATCTTCAAATTCAACATGTTTGACCTCAAGAATACACACAGTGGCTTGTTAAGAAACAATGGAAATATAACTTTATCACTATAAAGCATTACATTGTTTACATAATGAATAATGTGCTCATTGTTCAAGAGAAACGAGCACATTCAATATAAACAATTGCTAGAACAAAGCGAGAACCATTACATATTAACATGTAAGTGACAGACTGGTTCAGCTGTATATTCACTATAATATACGTGGAATTAACTTCATTTAATTTGAATACATTCAAGCTAATGACACTGTATTGTTCAAAAACAGCACCAGCAAGATTAAGATAACAGTCAGCATTGTATTTGACTCCTTGGCACCATGATAAATATTAAATTATACATTCATTGAGGACTGACCATTTAAGTAGCTTATTTGAACACTGAGTTTTCTCACTACAAATACATACTTTTCTGAAACAAGTGAACTCCAATTACAAAAAGTAACATTAGATTTTCCCTGCAAACATTTTCAGTAAAGTTCAGTCACCTTTTCACAAACAAACAAAAAACAAAATAACGAATTTTTGTTGATTTTTCCTCCGACACAAATATTCTGACAAAATTTGCGCACAAAACAGCCGCCAAAATCCAGACTTTGCGTGGACTGGCGGGCTTGAATGTTTGAAGGCACTACATGGTTAAGGTAAACATTACATTTTATATAGGCTACATTACAGATCTGGGATCTGCTGGTTTAACAAGCCACCTGATTATTTAGGGTACCTGTTCTTTTTGGTTTTAGCCCCTGAGTTTGTGGAAATAAATATTTGGATTTGATCCATTCTACTTTTACCAGGTCCCTTTAAAGCTCTGTTGTGTTGAGATACGTATGTAGCTTTGTCCATTTCATTTAGATGCCATCATGTCTTTAACAACATCGAGTGGATAATTCAGTAGTTTTGACTCAGTGTGAGAGACGCATGAGAGAATCTCTGGGTGAAGCGCTGAATACTTTTAAAGGCCAACAGGGTGGCGACTCCACTGACTGCATAAAGAGGTTCAATTGTAGAAGTCTACACTCACCGGCCACTTTATTAGGAACACCGGATCAGCCGCTTTTTAAGACAAATAGCTAATCAGCCAATCACATGGCAGCAACTTAATGCATTAAATCAAGTAGACGGGGTCAGGACAACTTGCTGAAGTTCAAACCGGGGAAAAAGGGGATTTAAGAGACTTTTAATGTGGCGTGGTTGTTGGTGCCAGACGGGCTTGTTTCTTAATAGTGCCAGGAGTCCAGAGCGGTCTAATGTACCGGTTAATTGATCTCTCTCTCGCTCTTGGCTGGAACAACTTTCTTTGCTTTCCATTTGCAGAGCCTGGGCTGTGCAGGAAAACCGGAGCACACTGAGGAAATATTCGCTATATTTAACTACAAGTGTATTGGATTACAGTACATTTCTATCCCTTTAAGGGAGCCACAGTGTGCTGACAATATTTCTTCTACTGGTCCGCTGCTGCGTTCTGAACCCTTATAAATGGTTCAGAACGCAGCAGCGCATCTGGTTTTTGATCAGCCCAAAAGGACTCATGTCACTCCATCACTCAGTGACCTCCACTGGCTCCCCGTGGCCTCCAGAATCAGATTCAAGTCACTAATGCTGCCAACAGTGGTGGAACGAGCTACCACACGCCATCAGAGCTCTAACTTCAAGAAGCTCCTGAAAACTCATCTCTTCCGAGAACACTTCCTCTTATAACACCTCTAACTCCTAACATCTAACATGCACTTCCTGTGCTCTTCTTCTTCTATCCCCTACAATTATCTTGTACTGCTTTGCACTTTTTTTGTTAACTCTTCCTTCGCTAGGTATTTACTCCAATGATGTGATATGAACTAGTGTTGTGTCGTTCAAAGAACGTTTCGTTCATTAGACCTAATCGTGTGTATGACTCGGGAGGAACGGGTCGTCTCAGTGAGTGATTCGTTCATTTTCACGCATGCGTGAAGGATCTTGGACTCTTACGTTCGCTCGTCACACGGCAGCTGCGTCAGCACAGGAAACAGAACTGATTAGTTCACGACTCTCAACTGTGGGTCTGTTTGAGTCGTTCATTTGTCACGTGACAGCTACTGTGGAGAAAGAGAGGCAGGTCGGCTGTCAGGTAACAGTCACTGGACTGATATTATATAGCTTTCTTGTTAAGTATGTGACATTTAACAAAGCACAACGTTATTACAGCGCAGTGATGTTGTGCTAAGTTATAGTTATTACTGTAACTTTGCTAGTGTTTACAGCTAACAGCTGATGAGAGTTGTTCTGGGTCCACTTCAGAGCCCTGACAGGGTTCTACCTGGAGCCGAATTACCTCCGAGGTCGTCTCCTCTCCAAAACAAACAGACCCGGTCATTAAAACATTAAAACACAGCCACGTAGCAACGTTAGCGTTAGCTTTGTAAACAGCTAACAGCTGATCCAGGTCTGCCAGGGAACGCAACGTAACTTTTCCTTTTTATTCATCAACAGAGCCGAGCTGTTGTTTCACAGCTCGTGACTGGTGAACAACCTGCAGTGTTTGAGAGCGACGTGCTCATGTGTGTTTCTCTGTCTGCAGAATCTGGACCTGATGTGGCCCATTCTGAGTCCAGACCTGCCAAACTGCTGCATTTATATAATGTGTTAATATTATCTCTCTGTGCTGGAGTTCTTTAAGAACTTGGTGGCTCGATCCAGATTATTATTAAATTGGTTGAATTTTAATAAGAGTGTGTTTATTCATATAGTGTATCAAGCTTATTACTTCAATATATTTACTGCAAATCTGATATTAATATTTTACTCCTGGATAGGGACGTTAGGCTGCTGTATGAATGAGCACTTTAGAGATAATGATAGTAATTATATACATCAGCCTTTATGTGGCCGGTCTGGTTGTATACTACTCGGGAAAGATTGTGACAATGGACGGATTTAGCCAGAGTAGTGGTGATTACATATAGACAGCATATTTCTGTGGTTTTTACATGGTTTGAATTTGGCTGTGGGCCCAGGGGGGTTTATATAATGATGATATACAGTAATCAAGAGGTGAATTTGTCCATTATACTTTGTCAATTAAAGCAAGCCAGGCAGCCTTCCTGTTTTTTAATCGCCCACTAGAGGGCTGCAGCGCCGCAATAACCAGCCTAGTTCAAATGAACGAAATGACTCAAAAAAACAAAGAGATTTGAATGAACGAGTCTGTCAAAAGACTCGAACTTGCCAATACTAATATAAACTATGAGCTCTACTAGTATTTATTGCTGCTCTTACTTGTATGTATTGTCAGTTGTAGATCTGTAGTTGATGCTCTGTTGACGCTTGTATGTTGTTCCTCAAATGTAAGTCGCTTCGGATAAAAGCGTCTGCCAGATGAGTAAATGTAAATGGTCCAACAAAACAGTATTTGGTTGTTTGTGACTAACATGCGTGACTCAGTCTACAGATTCACACACACCTTCACAGCAGCTCTGGAAGATCTTTATGATAACCGTTTCCCTGCTCAGGAGAACCTGCAGAAAAGAAAAGTATATATTACATAAAGTCAACTTGCTTTCAATTCAGAAAACGGACATTTTGGTGTGAACCTGCCCTTAAAGATAGCAACAATGCAAAACTACTAGTATAGCAATATTATAGTAATTGGTAAAAATATGGTAAGCAGCTGACAATAAAATGTTTATATAAGTGCAATATTTGGATTAAAAATGTAATACGGTGACATTAATGGGGTAAATATCTTTTAGATCTGTTTAAAGACTCTGTAAGACGAAATATTGACATTTAGGGAAATCAAAATGTCGAATCATCCATTTATTGGACGGTTATGTTTTACAACTCGCTATATTTATTTGTAACAATCAGAATGAGAACCAGAAGCTGTGCCCCTACACTCGAGACTGCCTGTGCAAATTTGCAGTCAGACTTTGCCTCATTACAATCTGCCCCGTTTCATTTGAAGCTACTTTTAAATGCACACAAGACAAAGGTGATGATATTTGCACCTACTAATACTAAAGTCCCAGCTCTCGCTATTAACACAACCAAGACGAAGCCATTGAACTTGTTGATACTTATAAATACTTGGGTATCCGGCTGGACAAAGCTTGACCCTCTTTATCATGCGGCTCTCAGGTTCATCACAAACGCTGGCTATCAGACACATCACTGCATCTTATACAGTAGGGTAAATTGGCTGTCACTCAAACTGCGCAGGATGCTACACTGGCACATTTTTATTTATAAAGCTATTTTAGGATTTTTGCCTTCTTATATCTGTTTAAAATTTGTTCATATGCAAAGCAAATATTTAAGATCTAGTGACGAACTACTTTGTTTGAAAGAGGAGTCTGTCTTACTACGGCCCTTCGTCCAGGAATGAACTCCAGTCTGAGCTTAAGATTGGTGCGAAAAAAAGAATATCTGATATTCTGATGGACATATGCAGTTGTTTTAATTAACGGAAGGTAGATCTCTACATTTAGTCCTTATTTTGTTTTTTTAATATATTTTAAACTCTTTGCATTTTTGTCCATGTAAATATTTTGTAAACTTTGTGTGTAAATCTGTCTTGTATTTTAATTTACGTAATGTATTGTTTTTCAGCTCATGGTTGAAAAATTGTATTTTATTTGTGCTTTGCAGGACTGTGTCTCAATGGGACATTTCCTGTTTAAACAAAAGTTTTTTTTATAGATAGATAGATAGATGCCTCATAAATAAATAAAGGCTACAACATAAGTCCGGTAGCTCACCTGGTGGAGCGTGAGGGTTTGATTCCACCTCCAGCTTTGTGCTGAATGTCATCCTGTTTCTCTCCCCGTTTACCTGTCTCTCTTCAGCTGCTCCTGTCCAATAAAGGCAATAAAATTTTAAAAAACTAATACCGTATATCTGAGAGGACGAGACCATCTCGACACAAGATGGTTTCTGTCAAGTATCTGTGATGTTGATGTCTGCACATGATGAATATGTTGATACAATCCATTATATAAACTGACCTTTATTACAGCGTACTGTGATGAACTTTGTAGCTACAAGCAAAACTAGAACTGCAGCAACAGGTAGAGCTCCTAAAGAGAATCCACAAAGAAACCATCCTGTTACGTCCCCTCTTGCACGTGTCCTCAAACAGTTTCTCTGAAACACACAACAAAACCTAGAGTCACACTCAGAATGTAAACTGTATCTCATGTACAGCACGCTGGTTATTACCTACACAGAACTACTACTGAGGCGGCCATGCTAAAATAAACGAACATGTAAAACTACTTGCAGATCAAAACCACCACTAAGATGAATCTCACCGGGCACAGTGATGTTACTTCTGATCATATGACCGATGTCGTCCTGCTGACTACACAGTGGAACCGGTTGTTTTCGGTCTTCTTCACAGTAGTTTGGAGGGTGATGTAGAAGCTGCCTCTCTTTCTGAGACCTGTGTCTCCTCAGCAGGAAGTTTGTTTCCAGCCCTGTCCTGCCACTCTACTGTAGGTTTAGGAAAAGCACCTCTAACTTCACACTGCAGCAGGACCCCAAACTCTGTGACATCAACTATCGTGATGGACGGCTCTGCAGCTGCACCTGTGAACACAGTAATAAGAAAACAATACAAACAGTTAGAGCACTACAAATGTAGTTTTTGTCCCCAAATACCCAGTACACTGTATGTAAGAGTCAGAAAAACTTTCAGTAACGGTTCCTCTATTAATCCCATTTATCACTGTACAATGAATATCTTTTTGGACTTTTTTTGGACTCTTCGTTGGACAAAAAAGCAATTTGAAGACATCACTTTGGGCATTTTCACTATTTCCTGACATTTAAAAACAAAAATTAAAAAGAATAATGAAAAAAAAGAAAAAAAAATTATGTTAGTTGCAGCCTACACAAAAATAATTTTATAGATTAATATTTAGCTTTTGTTGAGCTAAATTCAAATAATTCAAAAGCATGTTCACCCCAAAGTGCGTATATTTGTCAAATCTCTACACCTGCAGGTTGACTGCTTTGGGGGGCAGATGGGCGGCTGTCTGTGTGTGTGAGTGTGAGAGTGTGTGCGCGAGCGAGCAGGTGACAGGTGAACTACTCGAGTTGAAGAAAACTTGCTGTAAAGGAACACTAAAGAATCTCACCACAGATAAACACGTAGGTCTGAGCATAAATCTGATGTCTGATCTCCTCCTGTGTGGCTACACAGCGATAGTTGTCGGTCTTCTTCACAGTAGTTTGGAGGATGATGTAGAAGCTGCCTCCTCTTTCTGAACCTGTGGTTCTTTAGCAGGAAGTTTGTTTCCAGCACTGTCCTGCCACTCTACTGTAGGTTTAGGAGAAGCACCTCGAACTTCACACTGCAGCAGGGCCACGTCCTGCGTTTGATAAAGTGTCCTGACAGACGGCTCTGGAGATGCTCCTGTGAACACAGTAAACAGACACATCAGCTATAAAAGGACAATAACAGGATTATAAATGTAACACTGTGATGTTTCTTGTTCGTCTCTTCTCCGCTTGTAAATGAGGATTAAAGTGAGAGTGAGAGTGAGATGTTGTGATCTGTAGCGTGCTGCAGTTACTGCAGTGCTAGAGTCTGACTGAACACAGTTTCACCAACAGTTTAAAAGGCTGATGTGCCGTTTACATCGTGACCCACAGAGTCCGACCTTAAAGACACATCAGGAGAAACTAGTGGAGAGTTTTGAGTTTAATGTCTCTGATCTGCATGTACACTTTAATGCAAACATTGTCCTGTATCATAATGATGAAGATCATCATGACGACATTTCAAAATACATTTAACACCACAACTCTGCAGTAGTGATGATGAAACCAAATATGAAAAGGTCTTGGACTACTCTGGATGGCTCTTTAACAACAGCCTGTGGGCAGCTCCCAAAGTACTCTGAACATCTAATGAACCAGGAGGACGCTGTCTGTGGAGGGTCAGGTTTAATAATTAAATAATCTTTATCTAGAGGTGAAGCTAATTAGCTACCTTCACTGTTGTGCACTGGTATTACATACTCATTTACTCAAGTACTGTCATTATATACAATTTTAAGATACTTGTGCTTTTACGCTTACATTTGTCTTAAAAACTGTATTTACTTTGCAAATTATAATTTTACATGATATACTATAATATAAATGAATACATTATAATACGGTGGAAGACTACTGTAGTAATAACATGTACTGTAATATAAACAAGTTGTATATTAATGTAATAAATGTAATGATGGTGCACTTCTACACCGCCATCATTGAGTCCATCCTCTCCTCCTCCATCACCATCTGGCACGTTGCTGCCTCTGCCAGGGACAAGAGCAGGCTGCAGCGCATCATTCACTCTGCAGAGAAGGTGATTGGCTGCAATCTTCCTTCTCTTCAGGACCTGTACTCCTCCAGGACTCTGAGGTGAGCAGGAAAGATTGCAGCTGACTCCTCCCACCCCAAAAACAGATTCTTCCCATCTGCAGCTATGTACACAGTATTATCTTCCGTTGTGTTACTTCTGCACAACACAAACCCAGAGTAATGCACATGTAAATATGTGCAACGTTGTTCTTTCTCTGCTAACAGTTGTATTATTTTTCTCTATTCTTTTTATTATTATTATTATTGTCCATTCCATATTTATATAGTTCTACGTGTAGCACCTCATCACCAAAGCAAATTCCTCGTATGTGAAGGTTTGTGCTCATTATGTTTCTTACCGTTTGGAAGTCCGGGTGTTTTTCCAGACAAAGTCAGCAGACAGAAACAGAAGAACAGAAGCTCCTGGACTGTCGACATGTTGGAGAAGTAACTTAAATTAACGTAACGGTGCAGATAACTTCACTTGCTGTTAGCTGAGATATTCAAAATAAATGTACGCCTGCCTTTGGTGCGAGAGACCCGGGTTCAATTCCCCACTGTGACCCGTCCACCATCGTGTCCCTGAGCAAGTATACACTAATACTAAACATTACATCTAACGTTATTTCAATTAAAACAAAACGCACAGTATGCCGCGTGGTCCACGAACTTCCTCGTTTTGTAATGGCTGTTGAATGTAATATAATGCGCCTTCCGGCCACCAGCGCTTTGTTGCGCTTCAGCTCCGTCTCTCCTCGTCTTTTCGGTCGGTGACTGGAGAAGAACAGAGGCGAAGTCCAGCTGAACAACAACAACAACAACAACTCCGCACATTGTGTTTTATGCAACAAAGGTAAGGGACTTTTATACATTTTGACGAAGGACTAGATAAACAATGAGCAGATATCAGCGATGTCTGTGGGAATGTCGGAGCTTTTACTGTTGAATGACATCGATTTGTGCTTCTATCTTTGCTGCACATCTGGTAACATCAGGGGAGAGTTGCAAGAATATTGTGATTCACATATGATCTTTTAATCAACATTATGTGTTTTTTCAGTTCAAATTTGAAAACAACACAGGAGCATTTTAGGTTAGATTCTTTTTTTTATTAAAACTTGCATTGAATGAGGTTGTATATATCTGAGGTAACAGAGCTCTGCACATGGCTATACAGAAAATACAACTCAGTCATGGAACATGTGCTTGTAAACCAAAGTACAAAGCAGAAATACATGTTTTTACAACACTCTAATTCTCTCTGTCTGTGTCACAGTGATGGATGGTGATGAGGAGCTGGAGAAAGCAATGCAGAGCACATCACCCACCAAGGAAAATTTACTTACTGAACACTCAAACACAATTTTGGTCAAACAGTGTTATTAAATGCCAATCTGTTATACCATTGAATCTTTTTGTGCATTGCCAGCTGCTGCTCCATCATCATCATCATCATCATCACTTGCTGATGTTCCTGGTAACCAGCAGGGTTCATGAACTGATTTGCTCAGTAGCGAGGGTAAGTACCCATTTTTGTCTTCATGCAAGAAAAATCTATCTATATTGCGTCACCTGCTTAGACTTATAAAGGCTAAAGAAGAGTATTTTAATTGAGCATCCCAGACCAAAATGTGTGAATGAAGTGCATCACTATTATATTACCAATTATCTTTTATATTATAATGAAGTACTCATTCAATTTTTAAGACTTAGCAGGTGAAGAGCGACTGTTGTCTGTTTTAGTACCGTCTGCTTCACTGCACCGACCCCTGCTGACACCCGAAGGAAACTGCTTGAGCCGCTAGTAGATGGTAAAACGGTGTAATTTGTTTCTCCATCTGCAAAACTTCATGTTAATCAATAAAGTGTATTGTCTTATGCTCTGTAGTAATTCTGTTATACTTCAGACATAACTGGTGAGTGCTTTTTCTTATCTTGTTGTCATTCTGTCTTCGTAGGCCCGCCATGCCTACAGTAGAGAGAGAGGAGCCCCTTCCTCCTGAGCTGCAGTTTCTGGTGAAAGAGCTCCTAGTCACCAGCAAACTGAGAAGACGGTCTCAGCACCAGGTGTGTATCACGGGAAGATTTTATATTCAGTTGCATTTTCTTCTAAACAATGTCTACAATGTGGCCTGTAAGAGTCTTATACATATCTATAAGGATGTACAGCTGTGTTAAAAAGTTAATAAATAAATGTAAACAGAGTTTCTTGGTTTTAATTGAACCATACATTGATCTTTCCAGGAACCCTCTCACCTTCTGAGACTTCTTCTTCCCCTCATACACCTGAGCCACCACACAGTAAGATGTTTTCTTTACTCTGAAGATGTTGCTGTGGCCCAAGTATGCTTTAAGTCTAGTAAAATTATGACATCTCGCTAATTTAGCTTTTCCTTTGTTCTCTCAGCTGGGCCTTTTTACTGTTGTTCCCCCACTGACACCCAGACCGGCCCCTCATACCCCTGAGCCACCACACAGTAATGGACCAGCTACACTGAGGTGGTTCTACCTGCGATGGAAAACAGAGGACGGCGGGCCAAAAGCGACTCAAAGTAGAGATGAGCTGGTGCCAGCGATGGAAAAGCACTATGGGTTTTTAAAACTACTCTAAATGTGTTTCTGTGGCCAAAATGTTTTCATTTATTATAACATCCGTGATAATAATACAATGTGTGAAAATGACTACATGTCACTAATAATGTTGTTGTTTTTCATCCTTGTCCTCACAGCTGGGCCTTCTGCTTTTGTTGCCCCACCGGC